TAAGTTCTTATTTATACTAATTGTTCTTAGAACAATCTTTGAAGGAAAAATATATGAAGGAAATTCTTTTATGGACTTAATTTTTAATAGGCTACTGAATTGCAACAAACATGTGGAAATACTAGCTAAAACAGCCATAGCTGAAACAAAGCCAAGTGAGATCCAATAATTATGGTTGATGCTAAGTTGGATGACTCTCTGTGTTGAAATAAGAGATAAATATTTTACAGGATTGTAGTAAGGCATATGTGTGAAAAAAAGGAGAGAAGCAATTATTACTTTTTTTGGCATTGGTCAGGCTTCAGTTGGAACAAACTATATTTAATTTTACATGCCACCCTATGTAAAGAGAAATAACTTGGAGAATGTTCAGAGAAGAGCAACTGATTAAAGGCCTATGAAATTAGACCTATGAGACACTGTTACAAGAACTGGGCATGTTCAGTCAAATGCAAGACATTCGGGTAGATGAACAATTACCTAAAAGTATGTGAAGAGATGGTTCCCAAGTCTGAGGTTTAAATTAAATAGAAAGTTAAATCATGGGAGATTAAGAGCACAAAACAAAACAAAAAAACCCAGAGCAACGGAAGTAGAAACTAAGTATTGTGAAAACAAACTAAAAGGCTTTTAACAAATTGACAAATGGAGCCGTCTATACCTGGAATTCTGCATATTATTATTAAAATAAATTCAGTTTTGTACTTAAATAGAAATAACTTAGGAAATAGAAAAAGCATTTGATGGATTGCATTTAAAAAGTGAAAATCATCAGATCAAGTATGAAGAATGTTTTAAAGAAAAAAGTATGTATTTGTGGGCCTTCTTTGGGACCCAGGTTAGTGAGAACAGAAAGGAGCTCTGATATTGTCTCTGTCTTCTGAATAAGGGTAATTCCTCTGTGTGTGAGCGGGGAGGCAGCTTTTCTGACCTCTTGGGATTCATCAGGAATCCCTACAATGAGATACAAGATTCTTTCCAGAACTGTCCTAAACTCTTAAATATTACATCCCCTTTTTCCAATGAACATAATTACCTCTCTGAAGTATATTCTTTGGGCAAAGTAGACAAACATTTATTCTCTAGTTTGCACTTTTTTGTTGTTGTTAATCCTCACCTGAGGATATTTTTTCCATTGATCTTTAAAAAATATATTTTATTGATTTTTTCACAGAGAGGAAGGGAGATAGTTAGAAACATCATCAGCTGCCTCCTGCACGCCCCCTACTGGGGATGTGCCCGCAATCAAGGTACATGCCCTTGACCGGAATCGAACCTGGGACTCTTCAGTCCTCAGGCCGAGGCTCATTCCACTGAGCCAAACCAGTCAGGGCTCCATTGATTTTTTTTTTTTTAGAAAGAGTGGAAGGGAGGGAGAGAAACATCAATGTGAGAGACGCGTTTGCACGCTGGGGATCCAACCTGCAACCCAAGTATGTGCTCTTGACTGAACTTGAACCTACAAGCCTTTGGTACTCCAGCCAACGCTCTAACCACTGAACTACCGACCAGTGCTCTAGTTTATACTCTTTACTGCTAAAATGCAGAGGGAGAAAGATGAAACCATCGAGTTTGACCACTTTCTTTTACTTTAAAGCTTTTCTATTAGCCTGATAATTTATTTTTAACTTAGATGCAGATATTCTAACAAATTTAAGTGTTCTTGTTTCCTCTCTGTTTAGCACCTAAACTCTGCATCCATTTGTTTACTATGATTCTGATACCAATTACAATATGTGGGTGTTTTCCCCACACCAAGCAATTCTCAGACAACAGCTGGGTGTCCTACAATTCGGCTTAATTCTGACACTATCTACCTGGAGACAGCATCAGATCCCAGAAGTTAAAGGGTTCAGTCCTATAAAACTTCCCCCAACCTCAGATCCAATCACCAGTCCCAGTTGTTACCTGTACTTCTGAGCAACTGGCTATAAATTAGAGGTTCCCACAACCCACTCCTTGGGTTTGATTAATTTACTAGAGTGGCTCAGAGAACTCAGAGAAACAGTTTACTTACTAGATTATTGGTTTATTATAAATGGATATAATTCCTCCAAGGAGCACTAATTCTTTGCTTTTCTTATGCCAGTTCCACAGCACCTCCCTACAACACACCTGACAAAAGTTAATGATCAATTCAGTAAATGCTGAGTTCTCTTGATTTTCATTCACCATAAAAGGGCCTGGATCCAAATTGTAAAAGCGGGTTGCACCCTCAGGTCTTCGGTATCTTTGAGGATACCATACCAGCAGCTCTGGTGATAGAATGATATGCTATAGGGTTACATAGGGCTGGTAGGACATTCTGATGAAGCTGTTAATAAGATAAAATAAGTACATGACAGCATTGGGGTCTCTTGGGCCCCTACTGAAGACCAATACATATTAGTGATAAAGCAAATATGACATCATATTTGCAATATATTTAACTGGTGAAATCTAGGTGAAAAGTGTTAATCTGGATGCTCACTGTACTAATCTTTAGATTTCTTAAAATAAAAAGTTGGGATACACTGAATCTGAGTTTCTAGTTTTGGCTCCTTTTTGCTTATCTGGCTTCATTATACTGTTTTGATGTCTTCCCACCAGTAATTTTCTTGTTGTCAGTATGCTATTATTGTGCACGCTTATTGGCTAAATCTTTAAGAACTAGAGAAATGTCTTAATGATTGAAAACCAAAATAACTACATATTATTACAATTCTGGCAACCACAGGCTTTTTAAAAGTTATTACATAATTAACTAGTTAACTTTGTTATTTTAAAAAATTGAATATGCAATGCATTCAGATGGCTTAAAGTCAATCGATACAAGAGGCTATACAATCAAGTTTCCCTCTACATTGTCCCGGGCACTCAGTTCCCCTTCTCAGAGGCAACTAATGCTATCAATTTCCTGTGGATCCATCTTTCTAGTGGTTCTCAACCTTGGCTGCACATTAGAATCACCTGGGAATCTTTTTACAATCCTGATTTCTGGGCCTCATCCCAGAAATTCTGTTTTTTTGTTATGGGGTGGGGCCACAACATTAGTAACAAAGAAACAGAATTTCCGGAAGATGAGGCCCAGAAATCAGGATTTTAAAAAGATTCCCAGGTGATTCTAATGTGCAGCCAAGGTTGAGAACCACTGTTCTAGAGACAAAGAAACTTGTTTTAAATTTACTAAAAAGATATGGAAAGAGCCAAAGATGGATATAGGAGACACTGTTTTCAATGTCATGAATGAACATTTTAAATTTTAGCAAATCTATATAAACACACCTGTGTTATATTTTCCACTAGCAAAAAAATGGTCAGGACATTCGTGTTCACAAAAGATGTTACACAACACCTGATTTGGAAGTGAACCCTATAAATAATCACATACATTTGGTTCTATTCGCTCCTCTGCTGGAGTGCAGTTTGAGACTAATGTGTCCTGCAGGCACACGCAGTGCACCGAGGTCAGGCTGGCACTTGTCCTATAGTTCAAGCCAATATCAGATAACAGCAGCCTTTAAAAATATACAGAAAAAAATCATCTCATTCATATGGCATAGCAAAGAATTGAGGCTCAACCATGTGCTTGTTCAACTGCCTGAGCAGATTCAAAGTTTGAGAGAAAAATGCAAGGCCAAATAATAACCCGGTCTTGTGGCACTTCTCGTCTAATTTCATAGCAAAGTGGAATGGAATTTATCTGATCAAAAATATTACTGAACTGTAAATTTAAAAAAAGATGAATGTGAGTTTTATTTTAAATATCAATATTTACAATAAGAAATTACGTTCTCAGTAAATATTTAAATTCATGATAAAACATTTAGGATGCCAATTTAAAATTAGGAAGGTGCATAGTGTTTCAAATTCTCTTGGAGAGACACAAATTTTTAAAAAATATATATTTTTTATTGATTTCAGAAAGGAAGGAAGAGGAGGGAGAAAGAAACATCAATGATGAGAACCATCCATCGGTTGCTTCCTATATGCCCCACAGTGGGGATCGAGCCTGCAACCCTGGCATGTGCCCCAACCAGGAATCGAACCATGACCTTCTGGTTCATAGGTTGACGCTCAACCACTGAGTCACGCCCGCTGGGCGAGACACAAATTTTTTGAGGATCACTGTTCTAACCTATGAATACTGTAATTCTAACCATTTCTGCCTCTGCTGGGGACTTTGAGCCCCTAAAGCAGGTGTGGGGAACGTCCAGCCGATGGGCCATATGAGATTCTCAAAATCATTTGGTCTGGCCTTGCCAAGATATTAGGGGTAAGTTAAGTAAATGTTTGACCAATATAGCAGGCTAACTTTTTTTTTTAAGCAGGCTAATTTTTAAGTTGATAATTTTGTATGGCCTATGGATGATCTTATAAATATCCAAATGGCCCTTGGCAGAAAAGACGTTCCCCATCCCTGCTTCAAACGGAAGGGATAATTGGTGGGGAAGGTGAGACTGGGGAGGCTGGGCAGAATCAGACCAGAGATGAGTATCTCTGCTTGTGATGTAGCCACATGATTATCCTCTCCTGGTGGCCAGGCCTGGTGCTGCTCTGTCCTTTATTACAACTCACCTCAAGGTCAACAGAGGATGAGGGAGTTTATGAAGCTCCATGGCCTTCAATTTCCAACTGAATCACACCCACATGACTAGAGCATCTGTTCTGCATCATGACTGAGAAAGACAGAACCTCCTGGGGACATCTTTACTTTCTCCCTTTTCCCTTCTCCACTGCCTTTAAGTTTATTAGAGTGTACATGGGCAGTGCTATGTTCTGCTGATTTCACTCACATTTAAATTGAGTGTTGAGTACTAAGTAAAGAAATTGTTAAATTGTTCCTCTACAGCTGGGGAATCTGGTGGAAGGATATCTTCCCACCCTTGGAAGCTGCACATACATTTTCTCCTCAGGTGGATGTGGGGGAACCCGGGATTAGCTTTGCAGCAAAGATTCTGAGCTTCTGTTATTTCACTCTCTCATTTTGAGAGACAATCTCAAACACTAATGCAACACAATTTCTGGCAGAGAGCCTATTTTTATTTTTGGAGGGGTTTCTTACACCTTGTTGATTTTAATAACCACCATTAAACCACCATTCCACATTAGTGTCTGAGTAAGTCCCTATGCAGTTGGCCATTTCTCAGCAGCCAGGACTTAGATGCAGCAGATTGTCTGAGGTCTCTGAAGCTTGCTCTGCAGGTACTGTTTGCAGGGATCTTATATTCAAGTGGTGTCTTTTTATAGGGTATGCTGGGCTTGGCCTGGCTGCTTATGGCTCAGTCTACCGTGATGGCTGAAATTTGTTGGCCCTTCTCCCTCTCTTCCGCCTTCTTGAAGTAGTTGTAACTTTAGGAGAGTATTTTTTTCTTGAGGTCATGTGAAATGGTCTTTTTATCTTCTTGTATATCTTCAGAACCTGGTAAGGCAACAAGGTCAGCCTAGAGGACTTTGGGTTGGAAAAAGAAAAGGGGGAAGGGAGGGAGGGGGGAACTAAGGAGGAGGTTTGTGCCAGGCAGAGGCAGGATTATCTGGGAAGGGTGGCTGGTAGAGGATATAAATGGGGAAAAAAAAGAGGAGCTTGGGTAGGGTCATCTGACCTTGTTATTGCGTCTTGATTTAGGTTGAGAGCGGGTCTTCTTCTTCTTCCACCGCTTGGTGCTTGTGGATTGTTGCTCCCGTGATTTCTTGGTCACTTTGGCCATGTTTAAGCTCTCAACTGTTTACCCCAAGGGTCCTGTCCTCTGTATATATACCCCTCCCCAGGGCAATGAGGAGTCACACCCCTTCAGCTTTGTTTTGTCATCAGGGCACTTCCCACAGCCAATGGTGGCTATGGGGAGCTCAGACATCACAAAGGATCACTCCTGAGGGGGGGAGGGGATGCTAGGGAGGCCAAGATGCTCTGACTGGAAAAAAGTACCCACTAAAGAGCCTTCCCATACTGACCTTCCACCCTTCTTCCTCTCCCCATGATGAATTCTAATTGTGCACATGGCAGAGAGGGGTGTTTGCTCCAAGCCATTCCCCATGGTTCAATCTTATCTCCTACCATTCACTGTTACCTAATATTATGGCTATCTTATCTAACATCAGCAAGATACAGGTATGGCAGCCTGATCTGAAAAACCTAGGAAATAGAGAATTAGGGGAAAGTGTTTGAGGCATGGTGCCCTTATTGTAAGTTCAGACAAGAAGGCTTTGAAATATAACTCAGGGCAAGGTGGGCAGGTACTGGTATGTGTGTATGTGTACTAGGGTTACTCATTCACAAGAAATAGGATTAAAGATATGAAATAAGATAAAATTTAGGTATATATATGTTTATAGATATCATATCTCAATATCTTTTGGGGATCACATGGGAATTTTTGGAAGAAAATTTCAAAGTGACAAATTTTAACTTCAAATTTTGGAGACAGAAGACAAGCAGAGATCAGAAGTAGAAGCTCATTTCCAGATGAGAGCTCACTTTTCTCCCCATCTGTACCTGTCCCTCTACAAACAGTGATAAAGACAAACCTACGGAAACAGAAAGTAGATTAATGATTGACCTGGGCTGGCAGAAGACAAGGGGAAATAGAGACTGCTAATGGATATGTGGTTTCTTTCTGGGGTGATGAAAATGTTCTTAAAATTAGATTGTGGTGATGTTGCGCAACTTTGTAAATATACTAAAAACCACTGCATTATTAAAAAAAAAAAATTACTGGAGCCCGGCTGGTGTGGCTCAGTTGATTGAGCATTGTCCCATGAATCAGGTGGTCATGGTTTGATTCCTCATCAGAGCACATGCCAGATTGTGGCTCGATCCCCAGTAGGAGGTGTGCAGGAGGCCGCAGATTGATGTTTCTCTTTCATAGATGTTTCTATCTCTCCTCCCTTTCCTCTCTCTGAAACCAATAAAAACATATTTTAAAAAAATAACTGAAAACATTACTGGAGTATGATTCAGTTATATTTAAAATATGATTGTAGCTACATAGAGAGCAGAAATCAGGCAAGGCTAAAATTGTAGACCTCGAATGGAAGCCTGAGGCTATAAAATTTGTAAGACACAAGAAGGGATCAAATGAACTAGCCCAGTGATGGCGAACCTATGACACGCCTGTCAGAGGTGACACACGAACTCATTTTTTGTGTTGAGTTTTCTTTGTTAAATGGCATTTAAATATATAAAATAAATATCAAAAATATAAGTCTTTGTTTTACTATGGTTGCAAATATCAAAAAATTTCTATATGTGACACGGCACCAGAGTTAAGTTAGGGTTTTTCAAAATGCTGACACGCCGAGCTCAAAAGGTTCGCCATCACTGAAGCCTTTACTTTTTCTGAGGGGACAGGTGGCTTTGCCTCCTTTTGTCACTCCCATTGTGCTATAAGTTAAAAAATAAAATAAAGGAGTTAAGACTGAATAGATAGTGTAATTGCAATGTATTTAAAAAAAACAATAACATTAAGGATTCAATGAAAATATACCAAAATATTATTATTTCTACCTTGCTACAATTTCTTTACTACACTTTATTTATTGAATGAATATTAAATAAATGTGCAAATAAATAGATAAATGAATTTGTGTTATTGTGGTACAATTATAGATTTTTACTTTTCTGTTTTCCAAATTTCTTTAATATGTTTGTACAACTGACTCTAGGTGTTATATCACTGTTTCCGGTTCAAGTTGGCTGACAAACAGTGCATATTTATCTCTTCTTCCCCAAGGAGCTCATTATGATGATAAAGGAATTTATTTTCAAAGAGGTATAAAACTCAAACATGAAGAGAATGGCAGAGAGCAGTCCATGGCTGAGAGATTACACTTCTGGATTACAGAACTGGTGCTGGAATAGGTACTGAACAAAGAGGACAGGAGACAGTGCAGTACAGAATATGCAGAGAGGGAGAATAAGGCCAAAGGGACAGCCACCCCTCTCTGTAGAACCTGGGAGTATCTCAGGAATGGGAAACACCAGGTCATACCAAGAGCAAAGTATTGAGAGGATGGGTATCCTAGAATTCAAGGGAAAAATCTTGACACTATTTTACCAGTTATGTAAATAGTTTAGGAATGAGGGTGGGTGGAGGAGGGAATAGGAGTGTCATCTGACTTTTAATTATTTGGTTATTATTATTATTATTCCAGCACAGGCCTGCCCATATGGAAGCTGGGATTCCTTTAAGATCTAGGAGAATAATTGTGGTAGTTATGCGGGCGCAGACTGAGTTGCCTCATTAAAAAGGATGCAGTGACTGGCAAATCGTAAAACAAAACCTTGCCTTCACTTGGGGCACATTGCTGTTTCATTTTCTCTTGAAACAGATAAAAAGTAGCCCAGGCAGCCTGGCTGTCATGGCTCAGTGGTTGAGCATCGACCTAAGAACCAAGAGGTCACGGTTCAATTCCTGGTCAAAGCACATGCCAGGGTTTTGGGCTCCAATCCCAGTCGGGGGCATGCAGGAGGCAACTGATCAATGATTCTCTCTCATTATTGATGTTTCTATCTCTCTTTCCTCTTCCTTTCCAATCTGATATCAATTAAAAAATATATAAATATTTTTAAAAAGTAGCCAGGCTAGCCATTCCAAATTAAATTAAATCTTAAAATTCCAACAAAAAGATTGGTCTTATTTGCTGAGGTTCTAGTAAAATGGTTTACAATGATTGGGAATCAGAAGGGGAAATGTTAGGTTAAGAGAAAGAAATAACTTCCTAACAACTAGGGCAGGGGTGGGCAACCCCGGCACACGTGCCAAACATGGCACGCCAGTAACTTTTGCTGGCACGCAAAACCCTCTTCCATTTACAATTTTTTTCTTAATATCAACTTTTTTATTTTTCAGATAAATTCAGTGTAGGTGCATCTTAGATAAATAAATAATTTTACATAACAAGTTATCATAAAGACCATAGACATGGCTGACTTTGAAATGCAGTTGATTGAATTTCAGAGTAGCTAAATTTGGAAGCAGAAATTTATTGACCTTAGAGTTAACTTGGAAAACATTGAAAAAAACCAATTAGAGACAGGAGTACCAGAGAGAAGTGTCGAAAACGAACTATTGAGGACTTGGAATGCCATTCCTGTGATGTATAATATCACACAGAAGTGTGCAGAGTACAAAAAAGAGCAGTGACATAGCCCTAAGAATCCCCAATAGTTAAATGGAGAGATGCTTATCAGCCTGGAGCAGGCAGAGGTAATGACCTGAGGGTGGGGTTTAGCAGCACAGAGATGAAGAGAATTAGAATGTGAGGAATTGAGGTGCTGGCAAATGTTTAGTACAAATTATGTACCACAGGTTCCAGGTTGGATAGGGAAGAAAGTATAGAAGGATGAATCAGTGTAGGGTTGCCAGAGTTATCAGGAAAAAAAGGAACATTCAGTTAAATTGGAATTTCAGATAAATAATACCTTCCTTTTCAGTATAAATATGGCCCAAATGTTATATGGCTCATGTTTACACAAAATTTTTTTTCATTGTTAATCTGAAATTCAAATTTAACTGGGTGTTCTGTATTTTATCTGGCAACCATATTAGGTGGTTAGAGTCTGGGAGCTATCTTGAGGTCAAAGGGCAAGGACATGGTGTTCAGGAGTGAGAAAGCTGAATATTCAAACACTGTATTTTAGGATTTCAGAGATGGAAGGGTAACGAAAAAGATCAAGAAGGATCCATTGGAGTTTGAGGATGAAACTGAATGGAAATGCAGGTCCAAGAACACTGAGGCCAAAATACTGATGGTCATTACATTTAACTGATGTCAGTTAAAATGATGGCTGGAGGGTAGATGAGATAAACATAAGCCAACTACCAAAGAAAGGAATCTAGTCTTTTAATATTTTATTATTTTAAATTTTTTTTATTGATTTTAGAGAGAGAGAGAGAGAGAGAAATATCAATGAGAGAAACATTGATCGGCTCCTTCCTGCATGCCCCCCACTAGGGATCAAGCCTGCAACCTGGGTATGTGCCCTGACTGGGAATCAAGCTCATGGGTTGATGTTTAATCAACTGAGTCACACCAGCCGGCCTGGCAGGAATCTAGTCTTGATAGGGAAGAGACGGTAGGCTTCTCTAAGGGAGTGAGCCTTGGCTTGCACCGATATCCAAAGGATGTGAGGTCTCACAAGCACCTCATGTTCATCAGGACATGTCAAAGAGTATCCCAAACTTGTCATTCTTCCTGTGTTTCCTTGCTCAGTAAATGGTATCACTGTCCATCAAGTCATGCAAGTTAGAAATATAGAAGTTATTCATGATATCTGCTTCTGTTATGGCCATTACATAATTGCTTGTTATCCAAACCATCGTAAAAGCAGTTGGTAAAGAAAAAAGCATTCCAGGCAGAGGGAACAATATATACAATAGTTCTATGTTGAAAGATAGCATGGCCCTGACCGGTTTGGCTCAGTGGATAAAGCATCGGCCTACGGACTGAGGAGTCCTGGGTTCGATTCCGGTCAAGGGCATGTACCTTGGTTGTGGGCACATCCCCAGTAGGGGGTGTGCAGGATGCAGCTGATCAATGTTTCTCTCTCATTGATGTTTCTAACTCTCTATCCCTCTTCCTTCCTCTCTGTAAAAAAATCAATAAAAATATATTTAAAAAAAAAAGAAAAAAAAGAAAGATAGCATGGTGCAATCTGCTAATTAAAGACCTTTTCCCTCTCTCTCTTTCCTCTAATTTTTCTTTCTCTTTTTTCATTCTTTTATTATCATTTTGCTTTTTTATTTTTATTTTTTCATTTTAAAGACCCTTTCTTTTGACATGGAAGAGGAAGGGGCTAGATCATGATGGGTCTTATAGTCATATTAAGAATTTTGTCCTTTAACCTAAGAGCAATGAAAACCATTGACAGGTTTGAAGCAGGGAAAAGTGATATGAACAGATTTAGGTTTTGAAAAGGGCATTCTGGCCCTAGCTGGTTTGGCTCAATGGATAGAGCATTGGCTTATGGACTGAAGGGTCCCAGGTTCAATTCCAGTCAAGGGCACATGCCCGGGTTGCGGACTTGATCCCCAATAGGTGGTGTGCAGGAGGCAGCCGATCAATGATTCTCTCTCATCATGGATGTTTCTCTTTCTCTCTTTCTTTCTCTTTCTCTCTCTCTCTCTTTTCCTCTCTGAAATAAAAATGTTAAAAAAAAGAGCATTCTGGGTAGAATAGAGAACAGATTTGAGAAAATTAGAATACCTATAATGAGACCAGAAAAGGCTAGTATAGTCTTTCAGGTGAGAGGAGGTAGTACTTGGAATAGGGTGGCAACAGTAGACATGAAGAGAAGTGGGTGGTTTTAGTGCCAGCAGCGATGAAGCCAGTAGGAATTGGTGATGGTGGGAATTATCTCCTAGTTCAGTGTTGTTAGTAATGATCTAGTTCAGTGATGGCGAACCTTTTGAGCTCGGCGTGTCAGCATTTTGAAAAACCCTAACTTAACTCTGGTGCCATGTCACATATAGAAATTTTTTGATATCTGCAACCATAGTAAAACAAAGACTTATATTTTTGATATTTATTTTATATATTTAAATGCCATTTAACAAAGAAAAATCAACCAAAAAAATGAGTTCGCGTGTCACCTCTGACACGCGTGTCATAGGTTCGCCATCACTGATCTAGTTGAAAGGGAATGGCTGAATACATGGGAGAGAAGAGATAACTGGGTATGTTTTATAATAGTGCTGCTGTTAGACCTGGGTAAGGACCCTCTTTCTACTGCAAAGGGCAAGGTGTCTATGAAATCAAAAGGTCATGCTTGCCAGAAGCCTGCACTCCTCTTTTTTATAATATATTTTCATTGGTTTCAGAGAAGAAGGAAGAGCGAGAGATAGATAGAAACATAAACGATGAGAGAGAATCACTGATCAGCTGGTTGCCTCCCGCACACCCCCTACTGGGGATCAAGCCCACACCCTGGGCATGTGGGCATGTGCCCTTGACCGGAATTGAATCCAGGACCCTTCAGTCCACAGGCCGACACTGAGCCAAACCAGCTGGGGCACCTGCACTCCTCTTTTACTGGCTAGATCTGAGGGCAGACCTAGTTCTTGATTACACATCACTATTTGCAGGGGTTGAGGAATGTGGACATAAGCTTGGACATGTTGATTGCATTAATTTATGGCCCCTTTTGGTGTGGCAGGTGAAGAAGCTAGGAATTGGGAAGAGAAGAGGGTCAGTCCATCTCTCCAAGTCTGAAAATTTGACCTTCAGGATTATTATTTAAGCAGATTTCTCAAGGTAGCAAAGTAGAATTCTATCTAATAATAGACAAACATGGTAATTGACTGTACCTTCGCTACGCATCCATTGGTTAATCAGTGCAATATGCAAATTAACTGCCAACAAAGATGGCGGCTAATTTGCATACTGCAGGCAGGGTGGGACAGTGCCATCGCTGCCAACCCGGGGTGGCGGGTGTCTGTGTGCGACCCGACCTGGGACGGCAGGGTGGTGCAGCAGCGATTGGCCAGCCCGCCCGGCCTCCATTGGCATCCCGTGTGCGACTTGACCCGGCTGGGCGCGGCAGCAGCGATCCGCTGGCCCGCCCTGGCGTCCCGTGCACGACCCGGGGTGGCGCCCCAACCCCCGATCGGCCCTGCTGTGTGCGCGACCCAGGGAGGGGGGGCAGGCACTGAGGGATCAGGCCTGCCATCTGCCACCGGGGGAGAGGGCCTAAGCCAGCAGGTGGTTATCTCCCGAGGGGTCCCAGACTGTGAGAGGGCACAAGTGGGGCTGAGGGACACCCCCCTTCCCCCGCCAGTGCACAAATTTTTGTGCACCGGGCCTCTAGTATAGTTTATAAAAATAGCTTCTCAGCTTGATTTATAACTTAAATATTTGGACATATGGTATGTGAGCCGCCATAGCCATTCTTGTCCAGGCTCTGCAAATTTAAAACAGTATAGTGCAAGGAGTAACACATTCACACAGATGAAGAGTTTACTTTAGCTGAAACCTTATAGAGTCAGATTTCCAGACGTCTGTGCGGGAATAAATGGTACAAGTCTACAGGCACTATATTCATGTATACGAGAGACACTTTTCTACATCTGGAGGGTCAACATTCAGAAGCTATTTTAATTGTAATGGTTTCAGTGTGATTTTGAAAAGTTTCTTGAATACGGAAGGCAGAAGCGTCAAGTTCAAAGGGACCTTAGTGATCATGCAATCACATTTATTCACTTTTTATAAAACAGAGGTTCTGACAGATGAAGCAGCCTGACTGCAGGCACAAAGCTAGTGAGCGGGACGTGGTTTCCAGCTCTGCCCTCTGCCCACGCTTCCACCAGTGCTACTTTCCATGGAGACATCTGCTGCCAGGCAATCCCAGCTACAGCTTTCACTGTTAGGTATTAATGCAAGTAAATCCTTTCATTTCAAAATGTGGAGGCACCTAAAAAAACAAATTCTATAAACCAGTATTAAATTTTGACTCCAAAATATTCTAAAAAAAAAAAAAAAGAAGAAAGAAAAAAAACCAAAAAGGTGGGGGGGCTCAAAAATCCAACTTCTCTAAGTCACAAGTAAGTACTGGCAATCCTGGATAGTGACTTTTAACTGTTTTCCAGAAATCTGTAGGCAATTTAGGTCTCCCTTCTTAGGACTAAAAATAGCCTTCGCCTGGTCATTTCCTGATTTGACTATTTTATTTTTTACAGTCTATTCCTTTGACTTCTGGTCTCATGTGTCGAGACCGTAGCGCTAAACGAAAATCGCGCTCCTGGTTTTGGTTGCAACCGTATTGCTGCAAACCCATCCCCCCAAACTCCTTCCCTTCTAAGCCAGAAACCAAAGCACACACTTGGGACACCCAGGGTGCCGACTCCACGCTAAAATACAACGGAAGAAAACCTTGCTTCCCAAACATCTCTACATACCGCTAACGGGTTTTTCTTAGCGAGTCTGTGTTAAAATAATGATGATAAAATTAGAGTCTGTGAAGGGTGCAATCACAAAAGTGAGAGAAACGTTTTTCCACGGAGCCGCTTACCTTCCAGCTCAGAAGCAATCCGCAAGTCCCAGGCTCGCAGGAAGTGATTTCCCTCAAACTTTGAAGAGCGGACGATTTTAACAACAGTAACAAACCTTGTCAAGACACCAAGTGACTTTTAGCCCCTCCCATCCATCGACTATGGCCAACACGGAGGAGCGACTTCATTCCCGGGGAAAAAAAAATGCTCTCCCTTGAGCGGGGCATCTGCGAAATCCAGCTTTCTGGGCGCGAAGAGGCGGGGAGGGACCCCGAGGACCCGAGGGAAATCTGAAGAGAAAGTGATGTGACCGAGTCGTCGAGGCGGAGACCGGCGCGACCAGGGCCGGGCACGCTGTGGGCTCCGGAGCGGCGGTTCTCCCCGGACACTCGCTGAGCCGCCGGAGTTCGCGCCGGCGACAGCGGAGGAAGCCCCCGCGAAGCTCCCGGGGCCGCGAGACGCGTCCCGCGGAGCGGTGACCTCCAGAGCCGGTCCCCTTGGCGATCCCGCCTCCTCGGGTCGAGATTCGCGCCTTTCACAGGCTGTCAGAGGGATCCCTCAGGGAGGCTCGCCCAATGGCGGGCCAGGCCGGTGGCCGGAGGCTCCGCCCCCCCGCCCCTCGCGGAGGGCCGCCCCGCCCCTGCCCCGCGCCCGGAGCCGAGGAGAGTAAATACAACAGGAGCGCAAAATGGCGGAACCGCCGAGCTCAGCGCACGGCGCGGCAGCCGCCGCCGCCGCCGCCGCCCCCGTCGTGGGGAAAGAACCGTTTGGCAAGCTGCAGACCGCCTCCCGGGACCCACCGGGTCCTCTGTCCGCCAAGAAGGTCCGCACCGAGGAGAAGAAGGCGCCGCGGAGACTGAACGGAGAAGGGGGCAGCGGCGGGAACAGCAGGCAGCTGCCGCCGCCGGGGGCTCCTTCGCCTCAGAGCTACGGCAGCCCCGCGTCTTGGAGCTTCGCCGCGCTGTCGGCCGCCCCCTCCCCGTCCTCCGCTCGGAACAGTTTCTCTTTCTCCGCCGGCACGGCCGTCCCGTCCGCAGCCTGGGCTTCCTCGTCTCCGCCGCTGTCGCGCAAACTGCTGGTCCCTCCTACGTTGCTGCACGCGCAGCCCCAGCCTCAGCCTCTCCCGCCGGCCGCCGCCCCCGCGGCCAACGCCAAGCCGCGCAGGACCAAGGAGAAGCGGGAGAAGAGAGGAGGCCGCACGGCTCGGCGGGCGGGCGAGGCCTGCGGGTCCGCCCGGGAGGAGAACGGGGAGATGAAGCTGCAGCCGCGAGGTGGGTGCCGGCGCCGGCCGCGGACGGGAGGGCTGCTCCCCGGCCCCCGCCACCCCGTGGCGCTCGCCGCGTCCGGGCTGCAGGCGCGCGGGGGGCCGCGTGCGCCAGCCGGGAGGGGGCGGGAGGCGCCCGGCGCGCGGCGGACGAGGTTGCAGCCCTCGTGGGGACAGGAAATGGAGCCTGTGATTTCGGTCCCAGCGAGGGGCACGGCCGAAACTCGTGTTTTCTCCGTCGCGCTCTGCCTCTCCGCGAAGGCGCGGAGGGTTTGCACCATCGGGTCTAGGAGACCCGCCTCGGAGCGTGGGGCTCCGGAGGGAGAGGAGAGGGAGCGGGATCCTCCGGGGTCTGTTCCTGCAAAAAAGCGCTCGGTGGGTTATTAGACCGTCTAGACCGGATCCTGGAATTCATGTTTGTGAGCAGAAAATCCTGTCAAAAAAAAGGGGTGTGGAGAGCCGTGGCGTCAGCTGGGAGCTACCAGAGGCCTGAGCTTTTCATCCCTATTAGGGAAATGAGGTAGCGCGCGGGCCCGGAGCGCGCTGCTGTTTCGTAAGGTACCCTCCTCCCTCCCCGCTTCTTTCCGCCCCATAGGCTCGAGTGCTGTGAGTGTTCCTGTTTGAAACACCATCCTGCAGAAAAGCTTTTACAGCCATTTTTCTTCTGCTTTCTGCAGCCAAGGATACGATCAGGCGTGTTAAGGTTTGGGGGCCAGAGCAAGTGGCTGCAAAGTGTTTTCGCATCAGAAAAAGGCCGATTCTTGTAGACGTCCTTCTCGGACAGTTTTAAGATGGAGCTGGCCATATACTTTTCAGAAAGCATTTCTTGAAAAGAGATGGTTCTGCCTATTCAGCTAGTGATACACAAGGATCTGACAGGGGTACAGCATAGAGACTGGTTGAAAACGAGATCTTGATGTGATCAGAAGCTTCAGGCACATAATGGTCTTTAATATAAATATACATCGATACAGAGTATTGTCAAAGTATGTTTGTTTGTTTTGAAAGGAAAAAATGAAATGTCAAAAACGGTTTTAGCGCTGCTGATCTAATGGTAGCTTAACATCATGAAAAATTCTCTGTATATTTGAATTGGAATGGCTACTTTCGCAGATTTTAAAAATGCTGTAAATGAGTATGCAGCAACAGTTACTTCTTTCTTGGTGTTTTTGCCTGTAATAAAGCTTTGACATCTAAGCATAGCCATCTGGTACTCCTGCACAAGGTAAAGATCTCTCAGCTTTGGAGAATGTTGCTTCTCAGAAAGTGCTTTTTATACTACTTTTCGTCTGGAATTTTAGTTGGTTAGTATTTTAAAGTTATTTTGTTTTTTTTTATTGGTTACATTTAAAAGTTTTAAGTGCCTGGAAGTCTGTGCATTGCGATGTATAAACTGTTTGCTTTTCTAAAGTTCTTTGAATGAGGAAGTGAATCTGAGTATACCGTTGTCAGTGTATTGGAATGGCTGAAAATAAGCATTCTTCAACAATTCTGACTTTAAAATGGCCCTTAAAGTGAAATGGCTGTTAAAAGAAAAAATTTTCTAGCCTTTTAAATTACACTTAAAATCCTCCATTTGAAGGCTATAGCTTATCTAATTAAGTCTGAATATAAGCAATGATACCTTTACATTAAGATGTGGGGAAGATGTTTTTCCATGACCTATTTAGGTTTTTTTGATTAGTGACTACATACATATTAACACTTGTAAGATTTTCATTTCTTAAAAAATATATTTTTATTGATTTTAGAGAGGAAGGGAGAAGGAGAGAGAGAGAGAAACATCAATGATCAGCTGCTTCTTGCACGCCCCACGCTGGGGATTGAGCCCACAACCCAGGCATATGTCTTGACCCTGAATTGAACTGTGATGCTCAACCAGGCAGATTTTCCTTTTTCTTTTCTTTTCTTTTCTTTTCTTTTCTTTTCTTTTCTTTTCTTTTCTTTTCTTTTCTTTTCTTTTCTTTCTTCTCTCTCTCTCTCTCTCTCTCCCTCCCTCTTTCCCTCCCAAATAAATAAAAATATATTTTTTAAGAAATGTTAATCTTATAAATATTAATATGTGTGTTGACACTAATCAAAAAAATATGACAAGGTCAAGGAAAAACATCTACTCTATTACTACCAACAAGTAAAAAAAAAAGAGGGTGGCTTTTGTGGGTCTTGGAATTTAATTAAATGTGAAAATTTTGCCTTATAATATAAAAAGAAAAAATAAAACAAAAAGTGTGAGATACTGAATAAAGGCTTATATAGGCAATTAGAGGGTCCTCTGCGCCAGATCATTAAAGGGGGGGTAGATACTTGCATCTTCGTAAAAATAAAGACCTAAAAATTTAAATTTACCCAACTCGG